CAGATCGGGACTTTCAGGATATTTATATATATATGTTTTGGACTGTATAACTAAGACTTACGCTTCCGCTTACATTTTGACGATCTTTTGATGACGTTTTGATGGTTTTGACGAACTTATTATATTTTGACGTACTTTTCAGAAAATACAGTTTTTCAATAACCGGACGTTTTTAATAAGTTAAAACAACGGTTTTCTAAATTAAGTAAAGATTTTTCACGGTAGCTCCCCAAATCAGTTTCGCAAAGTAAAAATGTTTTAGTTTTCAAAGACTTTGCGAATAAATGCGCAACTCTGATTTATCTAGTAAGGTGGGGTGTTACATATCAAGACATCGGTAACACCGTTGATGTCGTTTATTGAGTGACTTGCACAAACTCAATGTTATTCAAGTTGGTAGAAGAGGCCAGATGAGAGAGGGCGTCTGCTTGAATGTTCAACGTCTGGGGTATGTGTTCCAGTGTCACCTTAAACCTTGATAGCTTTTTCTTGACGACTTCCAAATAAGGAATTAATCGAGGTTCCTTAACGTCATAAACACCATTGATGTAGCTCACGAGCAATTGGGAGTCGAAAAATATTCAAAGCGAGGAGGCATTCATGGATTCAACAAATTGTAATCCCGATATCAAGGCTTCGTATTCGGCCTCATTGTTAGTTGCATGAAATGTGAATGCTATGGAGTAGCAAAAGAGTTGCTAGTCAGGGCTGACCAAGACAATTCCTCCTCCGGCATGTATGGCGGTGGATGACCCATCGACGTAAAGAGTCCACGTCGGGTCTTCAGTTGATACTTCTATTGATGGGGTAAACTCGGCAATGAAATCAGATAACACCTGGGCCTTGATTGCAGTTCGTGGTTGGTATTGGATATCAAACTGTCCGAGCTCAATGGCCCACTTAATCATTCTACCTGACGTGTCGGATGGGTGAAGAGTCTGTCGCAAGGGATACGACGTCAATACGATGAATGGATGTTCCAGGAAATAAGGTCGGAGCTTGCGGGCAGTGGTAATCAAAGCAAAAGCCAGCTTCTCAATATGTGGATATCGCAACTCAGCGTCAT